TTTAATATAACAATGACAATATTATCTTTCCTGTGCAGATACGGAAAGCAGTGTGTGTAAATGAAAAAAAGGGAAAAGTATTTATTTAAAATAATGTTAATTTTATTTTCAATGTTTAAATCATTAGAAAAATCAACTGAGATGCAAAGCTACTTTGCATTGAATATTTTTTTAAAATTATATTTAAGATTTTTAAACAGAATATATTGAAATGTTCATATCTTTTTAAATGAAATTCTTAAAACATTTCTATAATAAAATAAATAATTTATTTTGTCCACATTAGAACATGGTTACATAATTTTTCTAATTCTTTTTCTTCTCTTCGAATATCGGTTGGATTGTTGGTGGTCGCCCACAGAATCAGTTGAATCCATTTCAGCCTTAATTCCTCTTTTCGTAAGAATACTGTGCAGAATGCAGAATGCGTGTGCTGTTGCATTTTCATGGTTATAGGCCAAGTGTCTTCCTTGGAATAAGCACTTAAACCTTCATTTAACAACGATGAATTTCGGACGGACGTTTCTTATCCCTTAAATGTTATCTCATAAAATTGACTAATAAATAAATTAATGAAAAGCAAATAGTTTTTATACTCCTATCTTTGCTTATTTTCCACACAAAAACATTGTAACTATTTTTTTTCTTCTAACTTTTATTAACTTTTTTTATATCTTTAAATTTTTAAAATTTTTTTCTTTACGTTGTTGCTATTACAAAGTTATTATTATAATGTTGTTATTTTAATAACAACGCACTATGGTTTGTCAAAAAATAGATCATAAACCTTTTTTTTTGAATGTTGAGTTAAAATGGGCTAAGCTAATAAGACTTGTAACTTATATGCCTGGGTAATAAAAAGTAATAATCGTTTGCAATAAATATATATGAATAACAAAATGACTGCAGCCGTGATTTGCTAAGGCCAATATCTTAACTGTGACTGTTGAAGAATAGAAATAAATTCTGATTGAACGTAAAAAAAAAAAAATTACTGTGAATTAAAAGGATAAACTCGCTTTTTTATAAAGCATGTTATTTCCCCGAGATGGCGTTCGTTTTTTGCTAGGAAGAGATGGAGTCTGTGACATTTTAAAATCGAGATGCTCAGTAGGCTCGTATTACGAACCTCACAACTATCACACGGAGCAACACGAATCATTTTTATATAGTTATCATAAGTGTGGCCACTCATGCGTCTGTAAAGCGTTTTGATTTCCCAGCAATTAAAGAAAGTCTCTAATAAGCTTTTAAATGTGGTATTTATCTTAGAGAAAAGGTCTTTGCATCTTCTTCTCATTAAATTTATCATTTAGTTGCTGAAAGATGTGATCAGGAAATGCCTGCATTGCTTCAATGGGACTATATTTGATGGACAAAATCGTACCATCAATTTGAGCCCTTTTTCCAAGAAAATCCGCTTTTTCGTTTAAGAAAAAACCGCAGTTACCATTTATCCACACAAGGTGGCAGTCATCCACATAAGGTGACAGTCTACCACTTGAGATTTACATAACATCCTGTGTATATCAAATACATATTGATTATCTGTATCTTTTTTATTTATTAGAAGCAGAGCTAATATACTCTCAGAAAAAAAGACAAATTTTTTATTACTGTTCGTTATAGCTATCTTTACAGCGTGTCTGATGGCGAGAAAAGATCTTGAATTTATCCGCTGTTTTACATAGATGCTCCGCTATCAAGAAGCTAAATACATTATATCCGACAGAACCGTCGGTGACATATATCATTGTCGTTGTTATAATAAAGAAGTGTTTCTTGACATAAGACTCTCACACAAGAAAGATTGACACTTCTCATTTATTGGTAATAAAATTGCGTCAAAAATGTCATGAAGATTTGCTCCGATTAACTTTAGTTCCTATGATAAATAATCTAATTTCGCGTTTAGAACCTTGGGCAACGTAGATTACATTTGTTTTGCTAGATAAAAACAACATATCCACAACAAACATAAAAGATTAGCTATTATCGAGAGATTATTCACAGCCACTGGATGAAACAGCAGATATAATTAAGAAATCATCAGCATATTGAAAAACCTAAGTTTTGTCGTCTTGGATGCCATGCGAATAGGTTGTATGTAAATTGAGCAATTACGTTGACTCTGTTTTTACCCTTATTGACACATATTTGCAAAAAAACTTTAATATTATTTGAGGATGGATTAAAAATGGTAACAGAATTCCATCACGCCTCGACAAATTAGCACAATAGTAGGCTTTACTGATATCCAGGAAAGCCATAACAAAGCTCCTGGGGCACATTTACCAAAAGCGTAAAAATAAAAGGAAGAAAAATTCTTCAACATATATTTTTTAAAAACGAGCTTACGAGATTGTAAATTAAAGCAATAGTAACATTTTTCACTTGAAATTGAAACCAATGAAGAATTGTATCAATTATATTTTTTTAGTTTATTTTCCTTTTAAGCGAAATAAGAGAACTTTTTTTCACTAACACAGAAAAGACCATTACAAAAATTTTCAGCTGCTGTTTGCTTAAATATGTCGGGTCACTTCGAGTGTTGATTGAGAAGCGTAGATAGCAAACCATGTCATAGTTTTACAGCGTCCACATTTATGCTTATATGTCACAGTACCTAAAAATTATAAGAAGATAACAATAACAGATGCTTAGCTGTTTCTCAGAACCATATGGGAGCAGATTGAGGCAGTTGTATTACATTTTCTTTTTTTACAACTAGGTTGATTTTGCTGGTGAACAAAAGTGATAATATTTCAGAACATTCAACTTTTTCTATGTGAAAAAGTTCATAATATTAATAATGACAGGCTATTTATCTAGTTATTGCGTCTTTAGGTTTTAAAAATATTTCTATTCCATATCATATGATCTTCTTCTTCTTTACTAGAACGTCTTGTTGTGCTCGCTTATACAAAAATTGTATAATAGGACGAATGTTTATAATATAATCAAAGTATTTCTCGTCAATGGATGCGGTTGTATGTATTTAACTTAAGGTAATAGATTTCACAATTTACAAATGAATGTTTCAAAACAAAATATTCGAGTGATTTCTAAGATTAGTAATCAAGGTACGTTAAGTAAAATTTGAGCATAAATCTAAACTCAGACTACCTTGAATTATAGAGGCGTATTTGTTCACTTCGGTAATTCGTAATGCAGAAGAGTTCAAAGGAGTGTTGAAGCCGAAAAGTGTCCGTCGTGAAGAATTTGAAAAGAAATTAAGGGCAAAAACACCATTGGGCAAACTGGATGAACATACACAGCATCCTTATCAGGAGAAAGAACCATTAAAGTCTTGGCCGGGAAGTGTAAATCCGAATACTGGTGAGATTGGTGGGCCAGCAGGTCCAGAACCAACCCGTTATGGTGATTGGGAAAGGAAAGGCCGTGTGACGGATTTTTAAAACGTCAACAGTCATGTAGCATCTCTTAGTATATCCAGAAACAATTGATATATTTGATCGCCTCAAGTAAGCAACGTTAATGGGTTTGAACGAGAACAGTATACATTTAGAATATATAAAACCTCTTATTGTTGCATGCGTATAAATATATAAATCTAATAAAAACCGAAACAGCTTTTCAGGATAAACAATGTAAGAGTGACAATTAAAAATGGAATGTAATTTAAGTGGCTGCCATCCAACAAATTCTTTATAGTTCATGGCTTTGTCAAAGCACAGTCATTATTGCTCAAAGGAGTTAAATGTTGCACGGGTACGGTTATTGGGGAACAAAATCACTCGGCTATGTGTTATTTAATTTTATAATTGTACGTTAATAATTAATTAAGTAATTATTGTATGCTAGCACACCAGTTAAGGAAAGTAATATCTGCCAGTTATAACGGTATCCACATTTGTACGTGAGTCAATTACCCCATGGGAGATTTTTTATGTCTCCGCTTTTCGGGTCAAAGTTTATGCTCATATTTCTCATAACCTATAGTCAGATTTTTGAAGAACACACTGATACTAAAATACTTAAAATAAATGTATATAATTTTTATATGATTTCGGCTCCATGTAATGCATGTTGAAAGATATATATTCTAGATTCTGAGTCCATCATAAAACACATTGTAGGAATATTGTTGTATTTTATATGTACTGATACAACTATTTAACAAAATGTATTAAGATATTAGTGGTTAATGTTATATCAAAGAGAATAATTTGCAAACAAAACTGAAATGAAACCATGATCTGGCGATCGACAATGATATCTCATTCCTTTAATACTTCCATTATTTTCGAGTTGCTTTTGGTTGATGTCGTTGCGAATCTGGTTTGTCAAATATTACACTTCATTACGCATTATTGTGGAAAGTTACAATGTTAATCACATTAAATCTTGTGAGAAGTGGCGGAATAAGAAATCGAGACGAGAATATAGACTAAAAAGGAAAGAGTTTTCGCAATTTTTTAGAGGTTGCTGCAGCTTATTGCACATTTTGAACGTGTCTCTCATATGCATTTTTTAATATTAATGGATTAAGAAATTCCCATGTCAAATTTACCTAATTTTAATTTTTGTGATGATGGTAATCAGTCAATTCACTCACTTTAGCAGAGATATTAGTTTTGCCTTTACATGCATGCCAATTACCGTTGCCAATTGTCTACATTCACGTTCCACCTAATTTAAATTGAAAACCTTAGCGTGTGCGCCTCCGAACGCAACTTGATAACCTGTGACAATCAATTATGTGTGAACTTCTGGCGGCTTGGAAGCTACCAAGGTTTGATGTTGCATTTGAAGTTCTTATTGCATATATACCAGATTTTTTTACGTTATAAGTAATGTTGGGAAAATCTCTAATGTGAGTTTTCATGAAAACTGGTTGATTTACTAAGAAACCAAGTTCCAGGGAAAGAGGAAACCAAACATATTCATAAAGTTTATTGATTATTATCCAAACCTACAAGTTCTAATAAAACAATTAGAGAACAATAATACTGACGATAAAGAACAAGACAATGAAGATCTTCCTTTAACTATTTTCAGAGACAGCTTGGAGGCAACGAAGTAGGAAACTTGTATGGATAATGTTTAATTTGGGATACATTGAACAAAGCATACGTTTTACAGAAAATACAGTTCTTTCCCCTCGATGAGCTGCACTTGAAACTCCATTCCCACTTCCCGAATTTATAAATAGGGATATTATCATTCTTTGTTTTGTGTTCAGTATCTAGATATGCTTATAACAGAGTTTTGGGCACGTGTAGAATGGGAACTAAAAGTCGCAAGTGGCACATTAGATTATTTTATCATATGGTTGATATAGCAGTGATCAATTCATGGGTATTGTATAAAAAAGCAACCTCAATCTTAGACGAGTATAGATGAGAGCTTGTAAAGACATTATGCTCTTATAAAAAGTGTGATGGGAATAAAAGAGGAAAATCCAATAATCTAGAAAGGTAAAAGCGAAAAATCCCCGAGAACCTATAAAGGCTGCCCCGGATATACGGAGTGATGCCTTAGGTTGTGATGAAAGGAAATGCAGGTCTAGAAATAAATGCAAACTCCCACGTCCCAAAAGATTTTCATCAAATGCAATGTTGCTTTGTGTGACGAAAAGAATTGCTATTGCTTTGCTGTATTTCATTCATAATTAATATGAAAATTCCATAAATGAAAATACATAAATAAGTGTGCATTTGTTTACGTCTACAATTTTAATAAAACACGCATATTGTTGTGTTGTGGGCGTGAAAGATTGTAATTGTGGAGGGTACGCATCAGGCCAATTTAACTTTCTTACTTGTTTAATATTCAAAACAAAAAGTCACGCATTTAAGGATTATATATTCATTTATTAGTTACATTTATTATTATACAAACTTATTCTATACTTAATTAATTCAAATAACGCCTTTTTATGTTTACGCCAGTTACATATAGTTATTATATATAGGAATAACATAATATGCTATGAAAGATAATAAGGAAATTGGAAGAACTACAAAATTAAAAAAAAATAAAAAAGAATCAAATGAAAAAAAAAATAACTATAGCAATATATGTAGAAGAAAGACAATAAAATACATTAGTGTCCGTCATAACGTACACCTAAACCAGCAATGTTTCGTCACTTATTATAAAAAAATTGAAGATTAAAGTTGTTGAAACAAGCGTTCTTTAGCTATATTTTTCGATTCTAATATTTATTTATTTATTTATTTATTTATTCCACTTATACTAGAAACTCAACTAAACAAATAACAGTCGAGTTCAATTGGCTCTAAATGCAAAACTTTTATTAATTAATAATAAAATTTAGCATAAGTAGTTTAAAACAAATAAGAAGAAAAAAAAAGAAAAAGAAAAACAAGCATGTACACTATCAGCATAGGGACACACTTACAACCGGTACAGGACCAAATTGCAAATGAACCCCTAAACCATCGCAAACATGCATAAGCCTGGCAACCGATAATAAATTGTCAATAATTCATTTTCGAAACGTAACGATTTTTTAGGATAAAAGCTAATTTAAATACGACATAGGTAAATCGCGCGTGTTAAGCAATGTTGCTGTAATGGACTTTAAAGAGTCCGATAACGAGAAAAAGTGGTAGACGTCATTTAGGTTCTTGCAAACGACTCTGAGCGGATTGAACAGCTCATAATTAAATTTACACTGACTAAGCTTAACCAAGATAAAGTGCCTGGAGAAGCGGTTAGGGACATTAAAGCTTATTTCACCAAGTAATGAAGGCGAGTCAATGGCACCATTTATTACTTTAATTAGAAAGGAAACGCCAAGAACAAATCTACGTTTCTCAAGAGACGGTAGGGACAGCAGAAGCAACCTATTTTCATACGGAGGAAGAGAGGCAACCGGATCCCAACCCAAATTTCTAAGGGCAAACAGCAAAAATTGCTTTTGAACAGATTCGATTGAATCTAGGTAGCACCTATATGAAGGAGACCACACAACTGAGGCATACTCGAGTATGGGTCTAACCAAACACATGTACAGCCTTTTAGTAATGTAGGGATCATCAAGATTTTTGGACCACCTTTTTATAAAACCAAGTGCGGACCTAGCTTTGCTAATCGAGAGCTCAATATGCAAGTTAAAACGTAACCTATGGTCAAATAGAACGCCTAAA